AAAAAAAAAAAAAAAAACTTCAACCTCAATTCATATTCAATCTTCATTCATCATTCATAGAAAGAATAATGGAAAGCAAATTGCCCAATTATTATTTTTTAACGGGTACTTATTATAAAAAAAAAAGAATATTTAATATGTAATCGGTTCGGGGCGGGTCGACGGTGTAAATATCATATTCAGCCAGTCTTGAACCAGGTCATTAAAATCAAATACCATACCCACCTCATTGCACTATCAGCTAGATTTTTTTCTTTTCGTTCGGTTCAATTAACCGTGATTTTCAATTTTAATGATTCGAATTGTCATCCCTAGATTTATGGTAGATATGTTAGAGTGCCATAACTAGCTATATGGAAAATTATGAATTAAAGAAAAACCTACAAGTATAATGTCCGAAGATTTGGAGCAGCTAGGAGCTTAAGAAAGTAGTTGCAAACATCAGTTGTATTCTTGTAAACAAACGCCACAGAAATATTTAATTAGATAGATATTTGTGTATAATTTATCTTCACCTACATTTAATCCAAACTCGAAGAAGGGAGAATTGTCAACTTGTAAGTTGTAACAGTATTTGTGTACTTTAATCTTTGATGTTTTTCCTTTTAATGCATGAACTACCTGTTCAGTGTTTTGTGAGAATTAAAATTAAATTTTTTAGTAGATTGTGATAGAATTTTTTGAAATGCGCGGTTGAAAAGTTGGAAGATCCTTGAAAGATATGGCTAATATTAATTGTTTGACTTTGATTTAAATTAGATTTAAATTAAAATCAAATTTTAATTTGAATCAAACACGCACTTGATGTTTCTTTATTTGCCATTTTTTTATCTTAGTTGAGACGAGCAATTTCGTTTGCTGAATTGCTGCATTACTTGCGTGTTTGACAATTCACAAAATGTGACCTCAGATTAATTTATGACAATGACAGGTATATGTCACAAAAAGGTGACAATTTCCAGATATTAGAAAGGATATTCCCTGCTTTATACTTTGAAAATATAAAATACATCACTGTTTATTTCAAAATCAAATATCATTGAGTTAAAAACTTTGTGAACCTTTCTTATAAATGCAGGCTGTTCACAAACAAAAAACAGATTTTTTCATTCAAGTATACTTTTCTTCATTTACATTTTATCTTTATCTTGGATTGTATCTCTCCGCCTTTAATTGTTGGCGTCTAATTACAAGGAATATTTTCTCAATACTCTAAAGATGATTGTGATGAAGATTTATTCCGACCTAAATCTCATTCAGAAGATGAATGTGATGAAATCATGGATCATTTGAAAGGACATGACAGCCTATCGGAGCGCTTAGCCATTATATCTGAAACTCAAGACAACACATTCATTTACTCCTCGCATCACATAGCGATCACATATTCATGCTCTAAACTTTGCTCGTGTATCAATGAACGGCTTTTCAAGAGTTTTGAAAGTACCTTCCGATGTTACTCATTCATGCACATACTGCGAGATGAATACAATTTAAGAAGTGCAAATGATAAGGTATACAAACATATGGGTATGTTTTTCAGTTTTTGTGTATTGGCACATTAGGTTTTGATACCAATGAATCCTGAGCTATGATGTAATCAGTGAAATTGCTACCAACAACCAACTCCAAAAGCTCAACTTGAAAACAACGACCGTTGGAAGTAACTTAAGAAATTAATGATACTCATAGCCCATATATATAACCTCTTGGATAACTTTAAATTTTGGCTCATTTAACCTTTATTGACCCAACTAAAGCCTAAACTAACCCTATATATATGTTGCTTCCTACACTAATCCTTCCTACACTAATCATTAGTGTGTGATTTGTGTGAGAAGAAGAGGAAAAACGTGGCTGCCTCCCTGCTGAAAATTATGTGCCATTGGAGAAGGAAAACAAGCTACCTTTGTGTACCAAAAATTGGTGATTAACTTTGTGTTACCTGTTTTTTACGGCGACATCTTAAGATAGATTGCTCTTGGAGGTGTGGTGGATCTTGTGGTGGTGCTTGATTTCTGTTTTGGGTAAAGTTGTGGTTTGGATAGTTTTGTTCTTTACGCATTCTGGTTCTTTTTTACTTAATTGGTTGCTGCAGTTGATAGAGATTTTATAACTAATAATGGTGGTTCAAAAGTGATAAATTCACACCTCTCATTATTTACGGACTTAAATTGGTCTACTCTGATATATTATCTTATCCTGACATTAGCGCATTATCGTGTGAGATGACATTAGAATTGGGGTACCATTGATTGTGCTAGAAATTTAGGAATTGTTTGTCATATTTGAAGTGTTGCATTTGACTGTAAGTTGGTAATTGCTTTTGTACTTTAATTATCATTTTAGTCACCGTGTAAGACTACATTGCATGAAAAACTAAACTTTTGTTGACATATCTTCATGTTGCATGGATTATTCTATTAAAACACCTCGACTTAACTCATTTGAATATTCCCTTGATATTGAGATCTCGAATCTCACAAAACCTGAGAATCTAAAACGGTGTGTACTACGACTAAAGGATTACTTTGTGTGATCTATTTGTGTACTTTAGTTGTTTTGTTTTTAAAAAATGTCTTCACATTTCGAAATTAGAATTTTCAATGGGAAAAAAAATTAAAAGCACAAAAAAATAATATGATGAACTTGCTTACACTCCAATTATTTTACACATATTCGACATTGTTTTGAGAGAAGTTGGAAAACTTGATTCTACTGAAAAAATTTGGAAAAAGTTGAAAAACTTATATTTGCTTAAGTCTATATCTAATAAATTGTATCTACTCGTAAGATTGTTCAGTTTTAAAATGAATCATCCAAATGATTTTGATGACGATCTAGATATTTTTAACAAACTAGTTCAAGATATCGTTTATTGTGATGAGAAGATGTTTGAAACTTATAAGGCCATTAACTTGCTTAATTATATGTCTGACTCATATATGGAGGTTAAGGATGTGATTAAATATAGTAAGGACATCCTAACACATGAAATTGTCATTAATTCTTTTAAAAGTAAAGAGATGGAGATTAAGACTAAAAAAGAGTTATATATGATGAGTAGAATGAAGATTAAGCAAATGAATTTGGGTAGAACTAAAGATGATATTGATTTGAGTAGCGACTTGAGTGATCAAGGCGGTAAGAAGAAGGGAAAGGTTTGGGACAAGTTCGTGGCAAGCAATGTTACAGCTGTAGTAAATTTGAACACTTTGTAAGGGACCGTCTCAAGGAAAAGGATAGGTTGTAAGATGATAAATGAGACGA